TTCCAGATCAGTTTACAAATAATATTTAGCTCACAGAACATTTTTTAGTGCGTGTTGAAGTTTCTTTCTCCCTAGAATTATAAAGAGCAGATTGGTAGCTTTGGCTCCCAGAGCTTCTATCTCAGTAGTTTAGGGTGCACCCTTAGACTCCCCACCTAATGCCAAGCTCACTCAGTAGTTTAGGGTATACCCTTAGACTCCCCACCTAATGCCAAGTTCACTCAGTAGTTTAGGGTGCACCCTTAGACTCCACACCTAATGCCAAGCTCACTCAGTAGTTTAGGGCGCACACTTAGACTCCTCACCCAATTCCAAGCTCCATCACAGAGTTGAAGTTTTCTCAAAGACTCCAAGGAGTGTTATAACACTCCTAGAAAGGTTGTAACAGTATATAATTTTGACAACAAATACAGATGTATGCACCTATTTTTCCTAAAATCAAGTCCACATTTATTCTCTTATGTTATCCTTAACAGCAATCCTGTGCAAAAAGTTGATAACTAAAGCAGTAGCTGCTAATCCCACTTTCCAAAACAAAAACCAAGAAACTCCCTCTGAGCACAGAAGAAGTTAGAAGAGTCAAAACAAGAAAGTGTCCTAACCTTTTACACACAAGCAAACACAGCAGCACAGGTACCATAAAAACAGAGCCATACCCAGGAGTAGAGAAGTCAATCCAAGACATGATTCCCTGTAGCAAACGTTTCTCAAGGGTTAATTGCTGACCACTGCAGTGTTTGCTGTAGGGACTATTGAAGACAGTCATTAAAGTACAAGGAAAAGACAGTGAGTTCTCGACCTGCTTTGTCATGTATAGATGGGACAGAAACCATACACTGAGGGGGTGTATGGTGGGGTACATACGGAGTTGGGTTGAAGTCACTATGCGACTTCACATCTGGATTGGAGGAGTGGTCAGTCGCTCAAGAATGGGAGGAAAAGAGAGGACACAATAGAACCCTCCTGGAGCTCAGGGCACAAAGAGCAGCTTTATCCACACTGGGTGTGTGTTTGCCAAAAATATCAGGGCTGCTGGCGCTCCAGAACTTACAAGGGCATGCTTTTGTGTAGACTAAGCTACCTTGACTATATAAGAACTCTACTTAGGGTGCATAACTTCATGATCCATTTGTAGCCTAAAGATAACCTAATTGGAGGTCATAAATTTTCTCACTCTGATTTTTTAGAAGTATTCCTAATTGAAAGAAAAAAAAAAGACCATAAATTGTGATCACAATCCTACTACTTTTAAAACAACCCTTCAAAGAAAAAGAGAGTGCTGTTTTTCCCTTTAATAAGGTTTATATATGATACTGCATAGTAATTTTAACAGCAACTTTCCCAAGTTTAAAACCAAAATAGCTGATAAGCATAGGGTAAACACAGAAAAAAAATCCAGGATTAAGTTGAAAAAAACTATCTTGAATGGCGTAATGCACTCTTCATGAATGTTGTGACTGACTTCCTCTACACATCTATCATATAGTCTAGTGCAAAACCGTGGAAGCGCGGATGCCTCCCCCACTCCTCTTAGAAAACTCCAGCAATATTGTGAGGGGAAACTATTCTTCCCATGCACAAGACCAAAGAAATGCAAATCAAGGAAAATGGCTGCAATTTTACCCTGACCAAATGCTAACAATTTGTTATAAATTGTTGGAAATCTGAAATTTTCCCAATAAAAGAGGGAACATTCATATGCATTTTCATGAGTCATTTCTTTTTATCTTAACCTTTTAGAGAGCTACTATTATAGGCCATTTTATAGATTATAAAGCTAAATTTAGACAATAGGCTACTTAACCAAAATTCACATTATATGTTAGGGCTAAGTTTTGAACCCAGACCTTCTAACTTTGAAACCACCCATTTACAAACACACTGAAAAACAATCCTAAGGACTTTGAGAAGAGAAAAAGAGGGAGAGAAGGTAAAGGAAGCAAAAGCTGAGGGGAAAAGAGGAGGAAGAATGTTTACATTCATAAGGATGGTCATATTTTTTAATTACTGCAAAATACCCAAATAGAAAGTTAGCTATGGGGGCATCCATTGCATAAACAATTACAAAATTATTATCAATAACAAAACTATTTTTAAATATTTATGAAAATCAGATTAAGATATATCTGTAACATAAACCATCTACAAAAAGATATGTGTACATATCAAGACCCGGAAGAAACTGAAATGGCTACTGCCATTTTAGAGTAATTTTGTTCTTACTTAATCATCTATGGAGGAGTTTTATCAGTAAATCAAGATTATTTAAATGTCTTCACAAATGTATTCTTCTAATTTATAATTTTAGCATACCAAGCAAGCTTTTTAAAGGTTTCTGCTTTGTAGATTAGAACTTCATCTTATAGCAATGATTTTGGCAATCACTACCTATAGCATATTTTTTAAGTCCCTTAAGTGAGATCCTTTGTAGTGACCCAAATTAGCTGCTGTTACTTTCACAGCTTTGTAATCACTCTCAACCCAAGAATCACAGTTCAGAGGCTGGGTATGATCTGAAGATTAGAAAAGTTTCCTGCTAAGAATATGAGTGCATACTTACCTAGCAACCAAATATCATAGCTGTAAGGAGTATTTATATTCTACTCTTGAGAGTTGCTGAATTAAATTGTCAAGCCTCTTTGAGAAAGGTAAATGAGCTTTACTTCCACTTTACCAAAAAAGAAAAGTAACAGTTTGGGAAGCATGGTTTTAAAATAGCATCATGAACTGTGAAGAGAATACTCTCTCCAAGGTGATATGCAGAGGCCCATTCAGCCCCAGAGTTGACCTCCACCAATAGCAAAAACAGACGTTTTGTGAAAAAGTCCAGCCACTGTTCTCTAAAGATACTAAATCCTAGGAACAGAAATGTACTTCGAGCATCTCAAACTTTCCTCTATGAGTCTGCCTCCAGAATACCCTTATCTTCCTCCTGTCTACCTACAGTGCAACTGGCTATTCTTAGGTAGTCTTAGAACACACCAACTACCTTAATAGAACTTAGGAGTCAACAGAACTTAGAACTTAAGACAATAGAGTTGGACAATAAAACTTAGGAATCAAAGGGCCATTGAAAACCACATGGCAAATCTAGGCCTGAGATAAAGACATCTTAAACTTGGCATCTGCACCCCTCATGCTGTCTACAGAGTGTGGGTGTGGGTGTGCATGTGTGGTATGTGTGTTACTGGAGAGGGCACCCAGGGTCTCACCAGCCCTTTAAAATGGTGTTATATTTGTTACTTCAGTGAGAGAACACAAATGTCTACTTGGTGTTTTCTGAAAAACAAAACAAACAAACAAAAATTGTGGCAAAGTAACTACCATTTGCTCTGCTTCCTAGGGGTCCTAGATGGAGGGAAGTAGAGGCCACAAAACCTAGCATGAGGAAAATGTTCTGCTTTGCATTTAACGCTTTTTTCTAAGATTTTTAGCTTTCTAAAGTAAGTAAGTATCCACCATAGGCCAAATACAAGTTTGTCATCACAAGAGGACCTCAAATTGGTAATTGTTCCATTAATATGCATATCCATCCAGATATGAGCAATATTTACTTACATTCCACTCCTTGCCTCCTCTATTTTCATAACGAATTTTCATTTTAACAGAAATTTGTACATAGAAATTGACAACTGTGGCCGCTTCACAGAGAAGTTATGGGTAGAAGAGAAAGTTCAGTGTGTACCTCATACTCTTCGATGTTGCTGGAAATTGTTGCCTAATTTCTATTAGTCCTCAGTATTTATTAAAGCTTACGTTTCCTTTTAAAATACTTACATGCGTGTAATTTCACTCTTATTTCAAAGGAAGTAATATTTTTGTTTTCTCTTTTAAGTGAGTTTTCCATACTGCATTTCCACCAAAGTTTTCAAGAAGAAAATAAAAATCAAAACAGTGACTAGACTAAAGGCAGAATTTCAGATTTTACCAGAACACAACGGAGAAGCTATTGGTTTTTAAGCGGAAATTTTAGTCAAACCCCTTTGAACTGCCTCGTGTTTAAAAGGCTGTTTTAAAACGGGATTTGAGGAGGCGGGGTGGAGAATCTCACGGTTTCAAAAGTAGAGAGAGAGAAAGAGGCAGAGAGAGAAAAAATAGCCAGGGACAAACAGGTCCGAGCTAGGGTTTATAGAGGAAAAGGGAACACAGCAGAGAAGTCCTATCACGACTCAGTTGGTGGTGCAGCTTTCCCGCATAAGATCCCTGTCCTGCACGTTTCTTGGGCTTGGTTTCAATGAGAAACTCACGCAGTGAACCTCTACCGATAATCTCCTTTTAATGAAGCTCCGAAGGAGGACTCCAGGCTTCCAGGGACTTTAACAAAACGCCCACCTTCACCCTGCCTGGCGAGGGCACACCTCACCTTGTTGTCTGTTTTCACCGCCAGCTGTCAACGCAACCCTTTGTGTCTCATTCAGAATACGAGCAGTTCTGGAGCGCTCGCAGAGAAATGGAAATGATGACCGGAAGACGCGCGTGTGACGAAGTGACATTTGGCGTGGACCCCGGAGAACGCCTGAGCACGTCTGGCCACTCTCAACTGTCCCAAGCCCAGCTCTACCCATCCTCTGCGCCGACACTTCCCCTTCTTGCTACATGCCGTCGGCCCGGGGCTCGGGACCGCTAGCTGTCCCCTCGTGCTCGGGGAGCGGCGGGGACGCGCCCCCCTCGCCGCAGCCTCCCTCGCCCCGCACACCTCACCGGCCACCTCCCTCCCGCCACAAAGGCAACGGCGGAGCCGGGGTGACAGGCCTGTGACCGCGGGCGGCGAGGCGAAGCAGCCGGGGACAGGGACCGGGATGGGGTTTCCCGCTGGCACAGGCGCCTGCCCGGCCGCACGACTCACTCCACACTCCCGCGCCGCCTCCCAGTTCCTCCAGAAGAAAGTCCAGGCGGCGCTGCCCTGCGCCGGCAAGGTGTCCAGCCCTCCAGAGGACAGGCCCTGCTCGCCACACAGTCCCCTCGCCTCCCCGGAGTCGCGAGTCCCCGCAGCAGCTCACCTGACCCCAGCGGGAGCAAGGGCAGAGGGCCGGGGTGGTCTCCAGCGGCCACAGGCGGCTCGGCGCTGCGCTCCGCTCCGAGGTGCTAACGCCGCGGGTGGCTGGCGTCTCTGCGGCAGGGCGGGCTGAGCGCTCGGTTCCCGGGGGCGGAGCGAGGCGCCACTGCGGCCAGAGGCGGATTCCTCAGGTGCTGCCCCTCCCGCTCGCACCCCCCCTCCTCTCTGTCCCCTCCTGGCCTGAGCGCCCGGCTGCCTCGCCTTCTCGGGAGCACACTGTGCCAAATGCACCCCCCCCACACACACACACATACACACGCACACGTGTGCTGCGGGGTCCTCCGTGCACAGTCTTCACATTCGGGTTTGCAAACTCCAGCGCGCATATGATGTGTGTGGCCACTCTAGGGTAGTGGTACGCTGGGGGTCTTCTGGGAAGGATTGCCCCCTAGTGCTGCTGAAGAGCGTGGCCAAGAAGCACAAGCTTTGCTCTCTGGGTCCTAGTTCATTCAGAGTGCTCTCAAGTCACTGTGTGACTTCTTTGTCACTAGATAACGGCTGAAAGTCTCTCTTTGCATGGGCAATGATTGGTCAACAGCCCTTGGCCTCTTGCATGAGGCGGGGTAACAGGACGCAGACAAAACCAAACTCACTCCAAGTGAACTCCAAGCCAGAACAGGTTTCTGCCCCTTCTCCGATGAGTACTCCCCGGAGCTCCAAGACACTGGCCCCCACTGTCCAGCTGTGGTTTCCAGACCCTTCCAGCTCTCTCTGTTCCTGCAGAGCTTCCTACAGACCTCAGGGAAGTTTCCCCAAAGGCAGCCACTTCCTGCAGGCCCTGGTTCTTAAAGGTTGCTACAATGACCAAAAATGGTGGAGGGATGTTGTGGCCGGACAGTGACAGATGGTCGCTCCAGTTTTCACAGTTGGTGGCCTCTGGTATTCAAAGCTGCAGCTCATTTTCTTGAACTGAAACTCTTGCCAGAGACATCATGACCACACTTTCCAGTAGAAGCAGCTTCATCCTGGATGTGGCAGAAGCATCAAAGAACAGAAAAGCTGAGCTACCGTCAGTGCCTTGGACTCTGCAGCCCCAATGAGCCACCTGTAGGTATGTCAGCACTGTTGCCAAGCACTGTGCTAAGATAATGATAATTAAACTATGTCACACGTGATCTGAAAGTCAGTACTTACATTCCTCTTGCTTTTTTACTGTTTTTTAAAAAATTAAATCTCCCAACCTTTCCTTTTCTTCCCTTGCACACCCATGCTCTATCTCAAAATTTTAATTGTTTTGACATATTTACATGAGTACTCCTAAATACATAAATAAAACTTAATCTACATGGTGTTCCATACACACACACACACACACACACATATATATATATGGCTGATCACTTGGTATTGGAGGTGAATTTACTACAACCACTTTACTAAACCAGCATAATATCTAAATACATTTGTCTTGCTCTTTAAACTTTCCTCTTAAGCCAAAATACTTTTTTCGCCTTTTTCTCTTCTGGTTGATGCAGAAGGAATAGCCAGAGAACCAGAGACAACTCAAAGCATGGGTCAGTATGAATAGTAAGGTAAGAGGTGTGTTTGCTGTTGGAATTTTCTTATCTTTCTTCTGCCTTAGTAAGACAGGCTTAGCTGGCTTCCTTTTTTTTTTTTAATCATTTGCTTTATCCCATCTGGGATAAAGACTTGTTTTACAACTGAATAATCCTTATACTCTGTACATTAAGAACATATAGGAACAGTTTTAGCTGTCGCAAGGGCAAGCTTTATTAACCACTGTGTCATCTGGCAGTTCTGGGTCTTGCACATATTACAGGCTTAAATTAAAATCAGTGTCTTTAAAATAGCTTCAACATAGAAGGTACATATGGTTAGCAGTTTAATTTAGCACATATTAAAAAAAAAACCTCAGTTTGTAACCACATGGGAACTGACCACGTGGGTGGAAAAGGCAGGACCCTGAGAGAACAAGCTCACGTCATGTAAACTGAGTTCACAGAAAGCTAAACAGAAAAAAAAGCACCATCGGTCGCACATGTCTGTAATTCCAGCACTCAAGAAGCTGAGGCAAGATTCCGAGTTTCAGGCAAGCCTGAGCTATGTAGTGAGCTTCAGACTACCCTGTATGCATAGCAAGTTACCTGTCTCAACAAAAAGAAACAAGAAATAGTCAGAGCACATGGGAAACTTTGAGAAACTCAGTCCTTTTGTGTTGCATGAGCTCTAATTGGTCTTGATAATAATAGCAACCCAGAGTAGACAGAGGGGCAAATGCTGAAAGATCAGAGAGACAAAGGAGCAAGCCACAGCCACACCTTACCTCACCAAATTCCTAGCCAAAAGAAAGTGAGCTCCTAGCTCCTTCTGCCTTATATGCCTCTCTTCCATCCAGCCATATCACTTCCTGTCCGTCTCTACAGACCTTCAGACCTCTATGGTTAACTAGTGTCTCTGATCTTTAGGCAAGCTTTACTTGTTAGAGTACAAACAAAATATCACTACATGTCCCCTTTTCTGTCTAAAATTAAAAGAAAGTTATAACTAATACAAGAAGAACTATATACAGTAAGTACAATATCTATATGCAGTAATAACTGCATCAACAATGTCTAGTCCATTAGCAATTGACAAATTCAGAGAAAATACTCCATATTTATCCTATCTTGATGAGTCCAAAAGGTTGTACATAATTCACTTTCTATTCTAACTTGCATTACCAAAACTATCTTTTTTATGTCTCCCAACCTTATACACTTTACATTTCTTTAGTGAATTTCTTTTCTCAATTTGGTAATAAGGAAAACTATAACTATAAAGTTTTCAACTCCATCAGAGACCTGAGAAGAAAGTAATATTACCCGAGAAAGCAGGAAGTGCAAGCAAGTGACTTCCAAAGGATGTGAGAAATGAAAGAAACAGCTGGCTGCCTAGACAGTCACCCAAGCTTCCTCTGCAGTGTTGGGGCATCCATCTTCAGCCTGCAATCCTATAACATCTGCCAGACTTTTCTGTGAAACGGGGTATTCTGAAGGGCTGTCTATCTCGTCTTGGCAAAGTTCGGCAGTCCTTTCTTTTGTGCCCTTCTTGCCCAAATTTGGGCAGCTTGCTGTCAGCAGTCGAGGCGAGAGCACTTTCTCGCACAGTAGCTAACTTTTGCCACAAAGAAAGTAAACTCCATGTGGGTTTTCTTCGATGATCGTTATCTTCTCTGAAGTGGGTTGGCGCTGCCAGGAGAAGACATGTTTCATTGTCATAAAAAGGAAAGAACCTATGTTATGCTTTAATGCTATATTCTGCAGATCTCTGAAGTATTTGAAGATGTCCTGTCTAGCTAAAATATATCTCTGTTTGACCTTGAAAATACACCTAATATGACTACAAGTTTGATTTTAATAGGTGCCTAATTGCTAACCTGCATTTCCTTATTATCCTAAACAGTTGGTAATAATAACACTCAAGGGCTAAAATTTTTTGTGTTACATTGTTAAATGAGTTGCATAGGTACAATACCTTGAAAAAGATTAGAAATGTATTCACTGTATGTTCTAACAAAAGTAACCTCAAATTTGTTTCACTATACAAAAAATCCAAGCCAATGTAAAATATTTGAAACTAGTAGTTGCTACTTTGGGTTAAAAGTAGATTCAATAATCTACATTTTTATCCTATTTCTATATCCCCCCTTTTTCTTTTCAAAGTAGATTCAATAATCTATCCTTATATATGATAATATCTATATTCCCATTTTTTCTTTTCAAAACAAGAACTCTGAATCTTATCTCCTGTATTCAACTTTTTTCCTGACCATTACCAATAGCAACTTGTAACCAAGCCCCCTAAACAATGAAAAATATCCATAACCCATTGAACAACCAAAAATCACCCACCCCACCTCTTGGGAATGTAGTCATCGTGTTCTTAAATTTGCTTCCTGCTGTCTGGGAGTAATGGCATCTTTAGGGGATCCTTAAAATAAAAATTTGGGTTAATTGTCAAGTCCTGGGAGAGGTAGCATCATTTGCTATCCAGTCTCTACATTATGGGAAAGTGCATTGTCTCAAGTCCTGGCTAGAGTAGTTAGTCTGTGAGGCTGGGTCATCTCAGATGGCCACCTCAAAATTGTCCCAAGTAGGTTGTAGCCCAAATTTGATCTTTTGGTGGTGTTTTTCAACTTAGTGGTGTTATCGTAGTCCTAGTGGAATTGTCATATGCAGCAGATCTCAAAGAGGTTAAAGGATCAATGTTTGTTATGTAAATCCAGAGTACAAAAACTTAATTCCTAGTTACCTGATAGAGACCGAAATCTGAAATCATGTACAGGAAGCTAGATGAAACCTTTTTCTAGAATTAGTTACTACTCTAAATGGCCATTAAAATCATGACAAAAGGTTTAAAATACCTATATGTTAATCTTACAAATTTTGAGATATTATTTACAGTGCTTTATTTAATGGACTTATAAGACAACATATACACAGAAGGACTTCCCCAATCCTAATTTTGAGGAGATCCCCTTGTGGAAAGTTATATTTGATCAAATGAAAGGCATTTGTTAGTTTAGATTGAATGGTCAACCTGTTTGATGAACCTCTTCTAATCAAGAGGTCTCTCTTGTTCAAATCTAATCTTTATCAATCTTGATGTATCCATAGCTTTTCTTCTCCTGTGTAAATAAAAGCAAAACCCCTCCCCCATTTTAACACATATCCTGGTTTCCAATCTGAGGTCAGAGCATCTTTAAAGAATACCAGCTGATTTAATTCCATAGTTTTTTCTGTTATCCAATGTCTCTGCACAGTTGTTATTTCTTTCTCATTAGAATTTAGAAAATTCAAAGTTAATAAAGCATTATGGAATCTATTTCTGGGGGGTCTTTATTACCCCCTTCCGTTTATTTAGCGCATTCTTTAGGGTTAGAATTGAACCTTCTATAACTGCTTTCCCTGTAAGATTGTGTGGTATACCTGTAATATACTTTATATCGTAATAAGTAAAAAGCTATTTCATTTTACATAGACATATGCTGGAGCATTGTCAGTCTTAATTTTTATAATTATTCCCATGATGGGCATAACTTCCAACAAA